GACTTCGGCTGTGAATTGGGTACCCCGATCCGAGATAATCTCCTTGGGGAACCCCATTCTGGAGAATATCCGGATCAGGGCATCCACTATAGTTTCTGCATGGATATTAGTTAGGCCACGGACTCTGGGTACCGGGTAGCATAGTCTACTAAGGTTAGGATATACTTTTTCCCGGACTGACTGGGTTTTGCTAGGGGTCCAATTATATCAACTGCCACCCTACTAAAGGGCTCATCTATTATGGGGAGGGAGTGCATTTTTGCCTTTTATCGGTCCCCTCTCTTCCCTACTCTCTGGCACGTATCGCAAGTTTGGCAAAAGAAGTTTTGGGTCAAACGATGTTTCGTCCTACTGACGCCTAGGTGTCCTGACAAAGGGATGTCGTGGGCAATGCGTAACAACGCTTGCCTGTACTTTTTGGGCACTACTAATTGTGTGAGGGTCATGGGTACAGATCCTGCTACTATCTTCTCTGCGTACCTATACAATAATCCTTTGTCCCAAGCATATCTCTCCCCCTCCAACCCCACCTGATTCTGCGTAACCCTATCTCGGTATACCTGCAAGGACGGGTCGGTGACTACTTCAGTACCAAATTCTAAGGGGGGAGCCCAGGGGACGAAAGGGGGTGTAGGACTGTTGCTTACCTGAGCCTCAGAGTGTTCAGAAGATGCGGTAGTGTGAGCCTGCTGTCGTGTTACAACGGGTAGCGCTTCCTGCGCGGGGTGCTGAGAAACAAAAGCGGAGGTCAGCTCCCCCAAGTCATTACCCAGGATGACATCAGCGGGTAAATCCTGCATGAGGCCCACTTCCACATTCCCTGACCCTGCTCCCCAATCCAAATGTACTTTAGCAGTCGGAATTTTGTAAATAGCTCCCCCTGCCACCTGGACTGCCACATATTCTCCAGTGAGCTGGTTCTTGAGAACTAGGTGATTGCGCACCAGAGTTATGGTGGCCCCAGAGTCGCGCAGACCCTGGTGGCGTTTTCCCTCTACGTGCACCCCTTGGCGGTGTCCCTGTCGGTTGTCTGAAGCCGCTTGTATTGGGTTAACCTCGTGGAGCGTGCCCAAAGGTTCTTCATCGGACCCGGCCCAAAAGTGAGGTTGTCGGGGCTCACTCTGGTAGCAGTGTACCGCTGCCCGGTTTGCAGGGGAATTGGTTGGAGTATTCCACGTGGAGCGGTTTCTGTTCCTGGGACAGTCTCTCTGTATGTGGCCCTGCTGGTTACACGTGTGGCACCTGATGAAAGATTGGGCATTGTTGTACCGTGGAGGGGTTTGGTAGTTCCCACCACCAGGACGCAGGGATGGGGTGGAAGTAACAGTGGGAGGTGTGGTAGCAGCTCCCGAGGTGGGCCGTGACTGTGCCCGCTGTGCCCTTCTGGCATCTTGGTACTCGCCCACCAACCTGGCTGCGTCGGTTAAGGTGCGTGGTTTCCGATCCCTCAGCCAGTTTTGTAGATCCGGGGTTAACCCCTGGAAGAATTGCTCCAGTAGCAGTAACTGTAGCATATCCTACACTGTGGTCGCTTGTGCGGCTTGCACCCATCCTTTGCCCGCCCTAGTTAAGTGGTGTGCCCACTCCATGTGGGTGTCTCTCTCCGTCTTTCGGCTTTCTCTGAACCGCTGCCGGTATGCCTCTGGGGTGATGGCATACCTGGTCAAGATTGCCTGTTTTACTTTCTGGTAGTCCCTGCTGTCCTCGTCTGGCATGGTGCGGGAGGCTTCTGCTGCCCGGCCCGCTAGCTTGCCCACCAGCAGGGGTACCTGGTCAGCAGCGTCAATCTCATGTAGTAGCTGCCTGCTGCTTTGCCATTAGGTATTCGTGAACATCTGCCATAATCCTTTCCAAGGTTTCTCTGGGAGGTGTATCTGGGAAAAAGGCCAGTCTGCTTTGGAGTTCTCTTCCAAACTCATTCTGTGTGCTGTCCATAAGAGGTGCTGCAGCAGCTGCTAGGTCTCCCTCCATGAGTTCAGCAATAAGGGTAGCTTTGGCTTTATTGCTGGCAATAATTCCCCTTGCTTCCAATAGCTCTTTTAGCTTGGCCCGTTTCAAGCTGGTATAATCTGTCCCCATTCACTATCCGTTCGGGTATATTCACATACCCTTTCCTTTCGGTTCCATACGAATAGCAAATTTCCACGAATGGCTGTAACTGCCGAACAATGGTCTGCTGTGAGGTTTGAATCCCGTCGCTTGCCACCAATTGTAGCGGAGGAGCAGGGGTTAATCCAATGGCTCTCCGCTGGGAACAAAGATTCAGCATACAAAATCACAGGAACACAGCATAATCCACCTCCCCAAGGACTAGACGACACATAGTCTGGGAGTCAACTGTCAGCTTTATTCACAGGTCTGTTTTTATGCATTTATCCCATGCAAGGAAGGTAACTTTCATAATTATTACAGTAGCCAATTGTAACCCAGTCACCTCCCCTCCCTCTCCTCCCCTTAGATTAGCCCTTAAACAGATTAGTGGGGACAGCGTTTTCCCCACTTTCTGGATGTCCCCTAAATACAGGGGGTACAGGGACAAATAAGGGGTCCCTTGGTAGATCTGATCTGGGTGAGCAACATACTCGAAATTCACCCAGATCAGACCAGGGGTTCGGGAGTTACAGACAGTTAAAGTTTTGACCGACCGCAGGGACTCAGTAGCCGAAAACAGTTCCATGAATTCTGGCCCGGTCTATTTCAGTGAATTAAAAATACCGAACAGCCTAGCCATCCATGCGATTGCAAGCCTTCGCATGAATCCCCTCGTTTAGGGGAATCTATCTACCGAACGCCGGGGCATTCGTGTGTTTGATTCCTGCTGTCGGAGCATGCTGGAGGTCTCAGCGGTACTTGGTTAGTCGAATGCCGGTTTGAGTTCCAGTGGTTCGACAACCAAGTACCGCTTTTCGTGCGTAAGATGGCCGCCACCACGTGTTCGGTAGTCGAAATGGCGGCGACACATACAGGCACTTAATCCCCTCACAACATTGTATCGTTCAGCTAATTGGAAACACACGACCACCCCAGGGTGGTCTCCCGTTCGGTAGTTTCGGCCATTCGCCTAAAAACAGCAATATAACAGGTAAGTCCATTCGGTTAGTTATTCCCTTGGTGAAAGTCACTCATGCACACAAAATCATCAGTTCCAGTGGCAGGGTTTGCCACAGATACACTCACAGAGACTCACTAGCAGACACACTCACGGAGACTCACTAGCCGGCACACTCACACAGACTCACTAGCAGGCACACTCACACAGACTCACTAGCAGGCACACTCACTAACAGACACACTCACAGAGACTCACTAGCAGGCACACATTTACAGAGACTCACTAGCACACACTCACAGAGCCTCACTAGTAGACACACTAACAGACACACTCACAGAGACTCACTAACAGACACACTCACAGAGCCTCGCTAGCAGGCACACTCAAAGAGATTCACTAACAGACACACTCACTAAAAGACACACTCACAGAGACACACTAACAGACACACTCACAGAGACACACTAGCAGACACACTCACAGAGACTCACTAACAGACACACTCACAGAGACTAACTAACAGACACACTCACAGAGACTAACTAGCAGACACACTCACTAACAGACACACTCACAGACACTAACTAGCAGGCACACTCACTAACAGACACACTTACTGAGACCCACTTGCAGGCACACTCACAGAGACTCACTAGCAGACACACTCACAGAGACTAACTAGCAGGCACACTCACTAACAGACACACTTACAGAGACTCACTTGCAGGCACACTCACAGAGACTAACTAGCAGACACACTCACAGAGACTAACTAGCAGGCACACTCACTAACAGACACACTTACAGAGACTCACTTGCAGGCACACTCACAGAGACTAACTAGCAGACACACTCACTAACACACACTCACAGACACTAACTAGCAGGCACACTCACTAGCAGACACACTCACAGAGACACACTCCCAGAGACTCACTAACAGACACACTCCCAGAGACTCACTAACAGACACACTCACAGAGACACACTAGCAGACACACTCACGGAGACTCACTAGCAGACACACTCAGAGAGACTCACTAACAGACACACTCACAGAGCCTCACTAACAGACATATCAAGACTCACTAGCAGACACACTCACAGAGACTCACTAACAGACACACTCAGAGAGACTCACTAACAGACACACTCAGAGACTCACTAACAGACATACTCACAGAGACTCACTAACAGACATATCAAGACTCACTAGCAGACACACTCACAGAGACTCACTAACAGACACACTCAGAGAGACTCACTAACAGACACACTCAGAGACTCACTAACAGACATACTCACAGAGACTCACTAACAGACACACTCAGAGAGACTCACTAACAGACACACTCAGAGACTCACTAACAGACATACTCACAGACACCCAGTGAACATACTCACATTGCTGGCTGGCTTCCTGGCTGGTAGTGATGTGAGTGTAGCTCAATCACTGAGCAAAGTGTTTGAACCAGGAAGAGAACAGATAAAGGAGGAGGAGGAAAATGAAACCAAACCATCAACAGGGGAGGAGAGAGAGAGGGATCCGGGCCCTCCCTAATACAGAGAGCACCCTCCCTAATACAGAACCTCCCTAATACAGAGAGCACCCTCCCTAATACAGAGAGCACTATAATACAGAGAGCACCCTCCCTAATACAGAGAGCACCCTCCCTAATACAGAACCTCACTAATACAGAGAGCACCCTCCCTAATACAGAGAGCACCCTCCCTAATACAGAGAGCACCCTCCCTAATACAGAACCTCCCTAATACAGAGAACACCCTAATACAGAGGGCACCCTCCCTAATACAGAGAGCACCCTCCCTAATACAGAACCTCCCTAATACAGAGAGCACCCTAATACAGAGAGCACCCTAATACAGAACCTCCCTAATACAGAGCGCACTATAATACAGAGAGAACCCTCCCTAATACAGAGAGCACCCTAATACAGAACCTCCCTAATACAGAACCTCCCTAATACAGAGAGCACCCTAATACAGAACCTCCCTAATACAGAGAGCACTATAATACAGAGAGCACCCTCCCTAATACAGAGAGCACCCTAATAGAGAGAGCACCATAATACAGAACCTCCCTAATACAGAGAGCACTATAATACAGAAAGCACCCTCCCTAATACAGAGAGCACCCTAACACAGAACCTCCCTAATACAGAACCTCCCTAATACAGAGAGCACCCTAACACAGAGAGCACCCTAATACAGAGAGCACCCTCCCTAATATTGAACCTCCCTAATACAGAGAGCACCCTAATACAGAACCTCCCTAATACAGAGAGCACCCTAACACAGAGAGCACCCTCCCTAATACAGAACCTCCCTAATACAGAGAGCACCCTAATAAAAAACCTCCCTAATACAGAGAGCACCCTAATACAGAACCTCCCTAATACAGAGAGCACCCTAATACAGAACCTCCCTAATACAGAGAGCACCCTCATACATAGAGCACCCTAATACAGAACCTCCCTAATACAGAGAGCACCCTAATACAGAACCTCCCTAATACAGAGAGCACTATAATACAGAGAGCACCCTCCCTAATACAGAGAGCACCCTAATAGAGAGAGCACCATAATACAGAACCTTCCTAATACAGAGAGCACTATAATACAGAAAGCACCCTCCCTAATACAGAGAGCACCCTAACACAGAACCTCCCTAATACAGAACCTCCCTAATACAGAGAGCACCCTAACACAGAGAGCACCCTAATACAGAGAGCACCCTCCCTAATACAGAACCTCCCTAATACAGAGAGCACCCTAATACAGAACCTCCCTAACACAGAGAGCACCCTAATACAGAGAGCACCCTCCCTAATACAGAACCTCCCTAATACAAAACCTCCCTAATACAGAGAGCACCCTAATACAGAACCTCCCTAATACAGAGAGCACCATAATACAGAACCTCCCTAATACAGAGAGCACCCTAATACAGAACCTCCCTAATACAGAGCCTCCCTAATACAGAGAGCGCCCTAATACAGAACCTCCCTAATACAGAGAGCACCCTAATACAGAACCTCCCTATTACAGGACCTCCCTAATACAGAGAGCACCCTAACACAGAGCCTCCCTAATACAGAGAGCACCCTAATACAGAGAGCACCCTAATACAGAACCTCCCTAATACAGAACCTCCCTAATACAGAGAGCACCCTAATACAGAACCTCCCTAATACAGAGAGCACTATAATACAGAACCTCCCTAATACAGAGAGCACCCTCCCTAATACAGAGAGCACCCTCCCTAATACAGACAGCACTATAATACAAAACCTCCCTAATACAGAGAGCACCCTAATACAGAACCTCCCTAATACAGAGAGCACCCTAATACAGAGAGCACCCTAACACAGAACCTCCCTAATACAGAGAGCACCCTAACACAGAGAGTACCCTAATACAGAGAGCACCCTCCCTAATACAGAACCTCCCTAATACAGAGAGCACCCTAATACAGAACCTCCCTAATACAGAACCTCCCTAATACAGAGAGCTCCCTAATACAGAACCTCCCTAATACAGAACCTCCCTAATACAGAGAGCACCCTAATACAGAACCTCCCTAATACAGAGAGCACCCTAATTCAGAACCTCCCTAATACGGAGCCTCCCTAATACAGAGAGCACCCTAACACAGAACCTCCCTCATACAGAGAGCACCCTAATACAGAACCTCCCTAATACGCAGCCTCCCTCATACAGAGAGCACCTGAAAGCTGAAATAGTTAACTTTCCTTGTTCGTATGTATTTTATGCTTAGAAAGGTTTATAATCATTAGTACTGACTGTAAGGATATGAAATAGTTAAACTCTTTGTTGCTTTAAAATAATGTTTGAAATAATTATGCTGACTTTGGCAGATGTATTTTGTACCAAGGTCTTTCGTCTACAGGATGTATGACCTTCCTTGACCTTAGGATGTTCCTGTCTCGTCTTTATCCAAATGCTTATCTTTTTCATGTCCGACAAGTATGTACTATTAACTACAAGGACACTATAGATCTCACTGCTTGCATGACAAACTGTGTATAAATGCTAGCCCTGAAAATATACTCATTGAGAACTTGTTAAGCACTCTTTTGTGTCTGTGTGTCTTAATTTGCTAACAAGAACTCCCATCAATTGATGTGACCGGAGGATCGAGAATCGAGGGGAGTTGAGTCCAGAACAGCATTAACCCTTTCAGCTTGGTGTCAGAAGTGGGATACAGCAGGACCATTTGCGGTGAGTAGCCTTTTTGTGTCTTATTGACGCTGATTGTCTATGACCCCCTTTGGTTCAGTAAGTCTGTATCCAGTAGAAAGGAAAGGTGTAAGGACTTTAGTTATATTGAGACTGTAAATAGGTCTCTGGTTTATTAGACATTTGGTCTAAATATATATAGGGGTTCCTGGTAACCCAGGTTAGTATCTAAGATAGATACAGGGTATCTCAGGTAGATACAGGTTTTGAGACCATAAGAGGTCTCCGGTTTATTATAGGGTTTTGGTAACCCAGGTTAGTATCTAAGATAGATACAGGGTATCTCAGGTAGATACAGGTTTTGAGACCATAGGAGGTCTCCGTTTTAACATAGAAACATAGAAACATAGAATGTGACGGCAGATAAGAACCATTCGGCCCATCTAGTCTGCCCAATTTTCTAAAAACTTTCATTAGTCCTAGCCTTATCTTATAGTTAGGATAGCCTTATGCCTATCCCATGCATGCTTAAACTCCTTTACTGTGTTAACCTCTACCACTTCAGCTGGAAGGCTATTCCATGCATCCACTACCCTCTCAGTAAAGTAATACTTCCTGATATTATTTTTAAACCTTTGTCCCTCTAATTTAAGACTATGTCCTCTTGTTGTGGTAGTTTTCTTCTTTTAAATATAGTCTCCTCCTTTACTGTGTTGGTTCCCTTTATATATTTAAATGTTTCTATCATATCCCCCCTGTCTCGTCTTTCCTCCAAGCTATACATGTTAAGATCCTTTAACCTTTCCTGGTAAGTTTTATCCCGCAATCCATGAACCAGTTTAGTAGCCCTTCTCTGAACCCTCTCTAAGGTATCAATATCCTTCTGAAGATACGGTCTACAGTACTGTGTACAATACTCCAAGTGAGGTCTCACCAGTGTTCTGTACAATGGCATGGCACTTCCCTCTTTTTCTACTGCTAATGCCCTCTCCTATACAACAAAGCATTCTGCTAGCATTTTCCTGCTGCTCTATTACATTGTCTGCCTACCTTTAAGTCATCAGAAATAATCACCCCTAAATCCCTTTCCTCAGATGTTGAGGTTAGGACTCTATCAAATATTCTGTACTCTGCCCTTGGGTTTTTACGTCCAAGATGCATTATCTTGCACTTATCCACATTAATTGTCAGTTGCCACAATTCTGACCATTTTTCTAGTTTACCTAAATCATTTGTCATTTGGCTTATCCCTCCTGGAACATCAACCTGTTACATATCTTAGTATCATCAGCAAAAAGAGATACCTTACCATCAAGACCTTCTGCAATATCACTAATAAAAATATTAAAGAGAATGGGTCCAAGTACAGATCCCTGAGGTACCCCACTGGTGACAAGTCCAAGCTTGAATATATTCCATTAACTACAACCCTCTGTTGCCTGTCACTCAGCCACTGCCTTACCCATTCAACAATATTTGAATCCAGGCTTAAAGATTACGTTTGATGATAAGTCTTCTATGTGCAACAGTGTCAAAAGCCTTACTGAAATCTAGGTAAGCAATGTCTACTGCACCACCCTGATCTCATAATTTTAGAGGTGCACCCAGTAAAAATCAATCAGATTAGTTTGGCATGATCTCCCTATGAAGTAAACCCATGTTGTCTGATCTTGTGAAATCCATGTGTTTTTAGATGTTCATCAATCCTATCCTTTAACATGGTTTCCATCACTTTCCCCACCTACTGAAGTAAAGGCTTACTGGCCTATAGTTGCCCGACTCCTCCCTATTACCTTTCTTGTAAATGGGCACAACATTCGTTAACTTCCAATCTTCTGGGACTACTCCTGTTAACAATGATTGGTTAAATACATCTGTTAATGGTTTTGCTAATACACCACTAAGCTCTTTTAATAGCTTTTGGTGTATTCCATCAGGTCCCATTGACTTATTTGTCTTTACTTTTGACAGTTGAAATAGAACCTCTTCCTCTGTAAACTCACGTGTAATAAATGACTCATTTATCCTTTTTTTCAACTGAGGTCCCTTTCCTTCATTTTCTACTGTAAATACAGAACAAAAATATTCATTGAGGCAGTCAGCCTGACCTTTATCTTCTTCTACATACCTTCCTTCTTTTGTTTTTAATCTAACTAATCCTTGTTTTTCTTTTCTCATTTATGTATCTAAAAAATGTTTTATCCCTCTTTTTTACTGACTGTGCTATTTTCTCTTCTGTGTGTGATTTGGAAGCTCTTATAACTTGCTTAGCCTCTTTCTGCCTAATCTTATAGATCATTTTGTCTCCCTCACTCTGGGTTTTTTTATAATTCCTAAATGCTAACTTTTTGTTTTTAACTATTTTGGCCACATCTGCGGAGTACCACAGTGGTTTCTTGAATTTTTTGCTTTTACTGACAAGCCTAATGCAATTTTCTGTTGCCTTCAATAGTGCAACTTTTAAATAATCCCATTTTCTTGGACTCCATTTAAATTGCTCCAGTCTGATAATGACTCCTCTACCCATATTCTAATTTTAGAAAAGTCTGTTTTTCTAAAGTCTAAAACTTTTGTTTTTGTGTGGTGTGACTCAGTCACTGTTCTTATATTAAACCACACTGACTGATGATCACTGGATCCTAAACTTTCACCTACAGTAATATCTGATACCAAATCTCCATTTGTTAACACTAAATCTAGTATGGCCTCTTTACGAGTTGGCTCCTCAACAACTTGTTTTAGAGACAATCCCAGTAGGGAGTTTAGAATATGTGTGCTCCTGGCACAAGTAGCTAATTTTGTTTTCCAATTTACATCAGGAAGATTAAAGTCACCCATGATGATAACTTCCCCCTTCATTGTCATTTTAGCTATTTCCTCAACTAGTAGATTATCTAACTCTTCAATTTGTCCTGGGGGCCTATAAATCACACCTACACGAGTTACTGTGTGATTACCAAATTCTAATGTACGGACTCTATGATCGCCTCACTAACTTTTATTAGGCTAGATATTATGCTATCCTTCACATACAAGGCCACCCCTCCCCCTTTCTTGCCTTCCCTATCTTTCCTATATAAAGAGTACCCTGGTATTGCTATGTCCCAGTCATTTTTCTCATTGTACCATGTCTCAGTAACAGCGACTAAATCTACACTATCAGTTGCCATTATTTCCACAAGTTCATGGATCTTATTCCCTAAACTGTGAGCATTTGTAGACATGACTCTAAGCTTATCATTTTTAACACACTTGCTACAGGCACCTTCTGTCCTTGTTTTGGGGGACAATTGGATTGATGTTTTATCACCCTTTTGCCCCCCCCTCCTAGTTTAAATACATCCTAGCAAAACCTCTGAACTGCTCACTGAAAACATTTGTTCCCTTTTGAGAAAGATGCAAACCATCTTTTTTGTACAGCTTATCTCCATTCCAACAGAGCTACCATGAGAAATAAAGCCAAATCCTTGCTCCCAACACCATTCACCAAGCCACAAATTAAAGTCCCTAATACGCATCCGCCTGTCGTTCTGAGTGTTATGCACAGGCAGAACTTCAGAGAATGACAGCGTGGAAGCAACCTGCCGTATATCATTGGCAAAAACACTAAAAACTTCCTTAACCTCTGAAACCTCATTGCAAGCCAAGTCATTTGTCCCTATTAAGACTATAGGTGTTCTGAGGAGCACGGTTTATAGATCTATAAGTATACCCCAAACTTCTCTTTCTCCCGGTCACCTTTGTTTGTCTTAAGTGTTCTTTGTGGGTTATTGTCTGTATTGGGGACACACTTTGGTAAGTTAGTAGTGTGTCTGCCCTGAGTCAGCAGTATGGGAAATGTAAGTTCAGGTCCTGAGTGACCAGTGTGTATGTGTGTATGTGTATATATATATATATATATGTGTGTATATATGCACATATGTGTACATGTATATGGGATACCATTACTGTATATTAGAAAAGAACTGACTCGCAGGTTGTACCTGATAGACCTACTTAAATCTTTTTGCTTTATTCTTTCTGTCGCATAGAAGTATAAGTTTATTACTCTGTTTTATTGTAAGTTATTTCACATGGGAACTGTGTGCCTGGAATGATTGTTGCTTTAAAAATACTATAAGCCCACTACACTTATTATGAGAGTGGGATAAGTGTAAATGTGTTGCATTGTTTGCATGATGAGCTCAGTATATTTTATAACTGAGACAAAAAGTCACATCATTAGTATTTGAAAGTTAATTCCCCATATGGGATTAATTGTATAGAAACACCAATCAGCACATCTTCCCTGCCCTGTGTGTTTGTTGCAAAGGATCCATACTGTAAATATAATTTATGTTTGAAAATAACAGAGCAACATTTACATTTTCAGCGGTCCAACACATGCTTCATTTTGCACTGTAAACTAACCTTTTTATTGCAACAAGTTCCTTTTAAATGATCCAGTGTAATAACTACTGCTTGTGTCTTCTGTGTCTCACATTATGTGTTATTTTAAATTGTGGTATATAGCCTGAATCAGACATCATGGACAAAGGTTTTTACCTGTGTTACTAAGGGCTCTTGGAGACTGACCGGTCTAAGGTTTGCCATGCCTTTAAAACATGGTATAGTATAAAAAAATTTAAGTCTGTGAGAGTTCTGAAAGATTCGGGTGAAACCATGTCTGTGTAATCTGGTCCAGATGTTTGCAAAATTTCTTTAAAATTTAAAATTGATGCAGCATCATCTCAGATTAGTTCATGGAAGTTTCATACAAATAGTTGAGTTATGAGCGCGCTATATAAATGGATCCTTTCTTTATATACAATACTATAGTAGATTAAAGTAATGAAGTTAATTAAGAAAAAACATGTATGCATAAGAATTCCTAAAATAAATCTAATACAAACTAAAATTGGTATACCTTACAATAATATGTTCGGAGTGCAGCTGTTAACTGTTTATTCTGTGTAAATGGTGATTGTGATAATGTGTGAAGTGTGCAGCTTAACTGGAGAGTGGTTTAATTTATATGTTGCTATGTTG